TACTAAAGAGAGAAAGTGAGATTTACTAAAAAAAAAAAGAAACAGAGGTCAGTCACTAAAGAGAGAGAGAAAGAGAGTTACTAGATAGAAAGAGAGTTACTAGAGAGAAAGAAAGTGAGTTACTAGAGAGAAAGTGAGAGTTACTAAAGAGAGAGAAAGTGAGTTACTAAAGAGAAAGACAAGTCAGAACTAAGAAAGATAGAGAGAAGTGGGTCTGGTAATCAGAGAAAAAGTAGGTAGGTGAATTATTGCAATAGGAAGATTTGAAGTGACAAGAAAAAAGAAAAATCATACAGTGATGTCCATTAAAAGCATACTCTAAGTACAGCACTTTGTAGTTGCTGTGGATCTTAGATTAGCTCCCTCTGAATTCCCACACAGTGTTTTACCTTAAAAACACTGCATTAAAGGGAAACTTTATTGCCAGGAAAACAAAGTCGTTTTACTGGCACTATAGCTTTCCCTTCTGTCAAGGTTCCCCCCTGTGGTGCAGAAAGGGTTAATAACTCCTTCTGTCATTTACCTGGGTCCCTCGGCGCTGGCTCAGCTCCACCCAGCTCTGCCCACACTCCTTTGTGAGTGTGTGTATATATATATATATTATATATATCTCTACACACAGCGTGTGTGTTTGTGCTTGAGGGTGCACACCCTAATGCAATAGGCTACGCATGCCTATGGGTCTGCGTGCCTATAGTGGTCCTTTAAAGTCTCCACAGTTCGGTACTGTGCTAAATTCAACTTTTTTTTCAGTGGAAAAATTCATGCAGAAAGTAGTGACAGGTATAGAAATGTAAGAAATGCCAGTCACAAAATGTGCGTCAGCAAAGAATGTGATGGTCATGTGGCCATATCAGTAACGTAACAGGGCCGGCTGAGTTAAACCCCCGACGTTTGTTTAGCTGAAGTTGGCACAGTACAGAACTGTGGTGATTTTACTTTCAGGCCCCCTCAAAGGCATGTATTAAAAATGGTATCTCTTATTCGTTCCATTCTATTTCCTGCTTATTAGTGTTATGAGAATCCAACACAGAACCAAACAAGAATATGTTTTTCAGTTACATCTCGTACATCTGTTCACCTTGGGGTCGGTCGGAAAAGCTCTTCCATGTGGTGTCTCTTATCACTGATAACAGCAGGAATCCTTGTAGATGTGGTTACTGGTGCAATATACAAAACCTTGAGAGAACAAAACTTCAGAGGTAAGAGCATTGTTTTATTTGGTAAAAATATAATTAGCATCTCAGTCAGTCTTGAAAGTGGGGTTAGTCTAGGAAAAGATTTAATTATTTGCAAATAAAGAATCATTTATATCATTCATTCTGAGGGCTACACTCGCTGCAACACCGCTACTTACAGTGCATTTTTTTATATTAGTTAGATCCTGCCAATCTGGATCACTTTCTAGCAGTTAGTATTGGTAACAATAAAACTTAATTTCCCGGTACATTAATGTTACTAAGTTCCTTAGAGTAATGTTTATCAATTTGCAGGATTGTAAGAACACACTTCCTGGATAGAGTGATTTGTTTTTCTAGTGGTGGTTTTTATGATATTAGGAATAAAGATTAAAGGATCACTATATTAAAACAAACCTGTTTTCCTGACACTTTAGTGCCCCCACCCTCAGGGTCCCCCTCCCTTGGCGCTGAAGGGGTTAAAACCCCTTCACCTACTTACCTTTATCCAGCGCCGGGCTCCCTCAGCGCTGGTGACCTCTCCTCCCCCGCCGACGTCAGCTCCCGAGTGGAGCGGCAAGTGCCGTGTGCGCATTCAAACACACATTTCTCAATGCTTTCCTATGGACGTTCTGGATGCGAATTTCACATCCAGCGTCGCAGAAGCGCCTCTAGCGGCTGTCAGGAATACAGTCACTAGAGGTTGGATTAACCCTGCAATGTAAACATAGCAGTTTCTCTGAAACTGCTATGTTTACATCTGAAGGGTTAAAACCTGAGAGACCTGGCACCCAGACCACTTAATTGAGCTGAAGTGGTCTGGGTGACTATAGTGTCCCTTTAAGATTTAACTATCAGTGGCGTGTCCTATTAAATTGTTTTAATTAGTATTGCACTATTCTATTTTATTTGTTGCAATCTCCTCAACTACATTTTACATGTTGCACAGCTCTGCCCAATTGAAATTTGCTGCTGTAATTAAAACATGCAATAATTAAGGCTTTTGTATGACCTAATTCCAGCATGAATTAGCAAAGCTTCCATTGTATTACTGAATTTATTGAGTCAGTTCCATGGTCCCATGAGTCTGAATGAAACATGACCCTCATTAAATTTTTGAATAGCACAGATAATGACCAATACAGTTTAGGGCCTTCATTTTGCCTATAATTTACAATAGATTTGCAAGAGTGTTTATATTTTAACTTACCAATTAAATTATTTTAGACAGTATTTTTCAGACAATGATGCTTTAAAACTCTCACGACAACTATTGGTCCCTAGATCTGTTAACATAGTCATGTTCAATAACTTTAATGAGTATTGTTTTTTTGTTTACAAATGATCAATTAAGCCATTAACCCACACTTATTATTTATGATTTTGTTAAGGAGAAATATGTCTTTCATGTCACATTAAATGTGTATATATCAACCATAATTTATTATGAATACAATCTAAAAAAATGTGTGAAAAATTAAATGTTATTTTCAATGTTGATTAGCACTAAATGTGTTAAAATATATATATATATATATATAAAAAAAAAATTTAAACTTATTTTTAACAGTTTTGGACACTGTAACCGTGATCTCTCTGCTTCTCTAACCTCAAAGCAAAGCGAGGGACGAGAGAGGAAAGATAGAAGGTCACAGTCCATGACATAAATCATTGGCTGTGACATTGTCTCAGTGATCACGGTGACAGGATGTCACTGCTATCACGTGACTCGGATTGCTGCAGAGGGACTGCCTGGGTTGCCAGGCAACCCATCTGACTGGATCAAATGCTAAGTGTTGATATGCCCTAATATCATTAAAACCCATGCCGTTTAGGGCGTAATGACACAGCCTGATTGCAGGAACTGGTTAAATTATTGCTTCCATTGTTAATCATTCTGTTCACTGTTGTTTTTAATGCACAAATTTGTTGTTGAGGACATTTATTGTCACAGCTCTACTAGAATCTCTGCCAATCTGTACAATCAGTGTTAAAGATTAATTAGACATTTCATTACTAGATATTGTCCCAGTTTGTCTGTTTAGCATTTGCAGATTGTTTTATTTATTGCCAAATAGTACTTTGAATTGTGTGCTTTGAAAAATCTAGCATTTGATATCATATCCTTAGTGTTTTGGATTTATTCCATTGTACAGTGCTACGGAATTTGATGGTGCTATATAAATAATAAAATAATCCTTTTTTTTGAAAGTGTTATGGAGATAATGCATCCTGTGATGGAAATTATATATAATACAAATGGATGCTTGGTCCTTACAGGTAATAATAGGAGATCTTGCCTGGGTGCTGATCCCCTACAGTCTAAAAAAAGAATTAGGTTCATACAGAAATCCATCGACATTTTCTACCCTGCGGGTCTTTTTCAAGATCTTGAAAAAGACCCGGCAGGGTCGAAAACGTAGATCGGTTTCTGTATGCATCTTATTCATTAATAAAGCACCATTTCCACTTATTTGAAGACCTGTGAGTGCATCCTGGATTTGAGAGATAGAGATAGAGATATAGATATAGATATAGATATAGATATATATAGAGAGAGAGATATTTACCTGTAGCAACATCGTGAAGTGGGAGGTGTGTCATATAGTTGCTGCCTGCTGTGCAAACACCTGGATCAGCTCTTGTGTTAGTCTGTTTGCCCAGCCCTGCCGGTTGACGTTTATACAGAAGGGGTTTCGGTATGATTAAAACGCTGAGCTCCATGAGTAATAGAAAAATAGCATAAAATTTTGTGTCTAAAAATATAAAATGAAATGCTAGTTTAGCCTGCAGGATTATGGGCAGGATCTAACGCATTTTGTGTAACTTCCTGGATGCATGAAGATTGGTGGTGGCGATGCAGTACAGCAAAATACTTTTTTTTTTTTTTTTTAAATGAAATTTTAAGCAATAATCTGGTCCTGGAATTCTGAAGTCTCAATGCACTGTATAATGTGGGATGAATCTAGAAGCATTTTTGCAGAAAGTCCAATTCAAAACAGTAACTCAGGCAGGTGGTGCTATTGGATGAGGCAACACATCATGATGAGAAGAGGTGGACAGCACCAGCTAGTAGACTGCTATCGGACTGAAATTTCAGGAAATCAGTCTTCTGAAAGACCTTGTAACTCATCCTTAGTCTCATTAACTAATATGATAGTAGGGGCATCAGTATGGTAAAGTAAGTATGGTAAAGCAGCCCTGCGCATTTCAGTCCAGCCTGCCCCTTGTTCTAGGCAGAGATGTGGCATATGGTGGAAGGAGATGGAACAAAGAAGATCAAATAGGAGTCTGGTTTGGTCAATGTAATATACAGGAAAATCAGTCATGCACTATAATTATTTATATTATCTGAATTATTATGTTATTATTATTCATTTTACTGTTATCTTGCCCCCCTCCCCATTAATATTTGAGCTATGGACAGATTTTCCTATTACTCTATTTAAAGGTGTCCCCGAACACTTTCACAGCCCTCTGCCTTTTGACTTTTGACTTGTCAAGCTAGACCTTAAGAAACTGAGGACATGTGGGTCAAAAATATGGTGCCTTGGGAAGGGAAAAGATTTTTAAAAAACTGAAGAAAGGAAAAGAAAAGAGGGGCAGCTCACCTGATAATTCTATATAGTCCTTACTGGATCTCTGGATCTTTCTGGACCTCCGGAGGCACCAAACTAGACTTCGAAGCTTCCATTGACTGTTCTCTCTAATGTATATTTCAACCTGGATAGAACTTTCAGTTTACGCTTGTGTTGTGTTTTGTTTTGTTTCTTGCTTTTTTATTGACATGCTTTTTATCAATCACTTTGCTTCTTTGTCCTGCAGAGGAACTACGGCATCTGTAATAAAGGATCAGCCAAGCTACTGTGTTCGTTAATCAACCTGGATTCAACAAACTGCAGCTCACTTCCTACTCAGTAATATGTTGATCAAACATTCTGTAATACTGCAAGCCTCCTGTTGCTAAAGAAATTTCAATTAAAACAATGGTTTTCTTGTTTGTTAAAATATTAAGAAACTCAATCAATATTTCAATGTTTTCAGCTCTCTCACTGTGTCGCAAATGTTTTTGTTTTTTAATATACACAGTATTGCAGATCATTTTAAATTGTGTATGAAAAAATCAAGACTCTAGCAGTTCTACATCTCACTTCAGTTCCAACGCTTTGCCTGCTGTTCTCATTATTCTAGCAACGTACAAGTTTGCTCGGCATTTGAGTAATCTCTCTTTTTTTTTTTTTCTTCCAAATATTGTAGTGGGTGTTCACAATTTACGGATTAAACTAACACCACACCATGTTGTCAGAAAAACGTTCTTAAATGTTAATCTCTTTTCTTATTCTTCTAAATATACTCTTTGGAAGTCTGTGAAAGAAGAGAAAAATAATATTCTGCAATAGAAAAGCATGAAAGATACTGATCAGAACACTAACATACATGAAGTGCATAAACAATACAAATGCAAAATGTCCATAAGGAATGTTGCAGTAAGTGCTAGTTAGTAATTACACTGGTGCATTGATCTTTATAGATCTATACAGCAATATCTGCCTTTCCTTGCACTGTAGTATGTATCTGATAAAGCCCGCTGTGAAGGATTGTATGGCTTACCCCATACAGGACCTAGATTGGCTGAAAAGAAGAGTTGTTAGATTTATTTGTGCTTATTACATTTTAAACACCATTATCAAAATAACCAATGTGTGTTGGACTTTTTATTATGTACTATAAAATGTCTTTTTTAGATAATCTAACAAAATAATAAATCATTTTTAGTATAACACAAGCCACATATTCTGCTTTAAGGAGACCATATGTATGTAAGTGCCACCAATCTGGTATACTGACTGATACAGGTACATAGGAACAAACACTTGCCCACAGTGTTATGAATGTGATGCACACAGCCAGTGTGGTCACTAGGACCCCATTAAACTAGAGTGCTCTATACGATCTTCTGTATTAAGAGCTAGGCCTATATTAAACCTTAGTTTTCCTTGACAGACGTAGAATGAGCTGGCATCTCTCGTCCCTCCAAATCCTTAAAATAATATTTATACCCCTTGGAAGTTATATTATTCTGAACTCTGAGTCTTCTTGGCAGGTCAGCTACAGTTACCAGTGGAAATGTCAATGAGTTATCTGTAAGCATCTATATCACTTTCACGTGGAGGAACTCTGGATTGCCAGGATGAAATACATTGCCATGAATGAATTTGTAGATTAGAATACAAAAACCTAGTCCCTGCTTGAAAAATCCCATGCTTTTGTGCATACGAAGCAGTAGTTGGAGGTCTTGTAGGAGATCATCCAGTACAGAGCATAGAGTGTGTCATTGAGATATAAATTTGTTAAACCATGTGTGTCCTAAATAAATTCTTTAAGTTGTAGAACTGCAACTCTTACTTTGCTTTTAACAGCCTTATTTTTGGCAAATCATCACGGAAGTTGTTTTTCAACAACTGAGTGGTCTACCTTTTAGAAACCTCTACACAAACAAATATAAACCCACAATAATTAATCATCCAATATTCTCTATCACCAGTGCTCCTGAAGCTTTGTGATATATTGGTCTCAATACTTAGTAATCCCAGCCCCACCACATGCTAGAAAAATCTTGTAATTTGCATTATCACATGTCTGAGCTATGAGTAGTATGATGTAAAAACATATAACAAGAAAAAATAAATTACAATGTTACATGTGTATACACCATATTAAGCATTATGTTGTAAGTTTAACATTTAATAACAATGTTAATAGTAATCAGAGCCCTAACGATTCATTCTAAAAATAAAAAGAATAACATAATCTCCTTTGACATTTGACCTTAAACCTCTATGTTAAATGGATTGACAGTGAGAATTAAGAAAGATATTGCAGCTGTAAAGTCTAAAATTAGAATGCAGTAAGAGATGATTTGCAAGCGCAAAGTGTTTGAGTAAGGTTCTTGATTTGGTTTGGGAGATTTATTGACACCATATCACATATTTCAGAGATGCTTTGGAGAAAGAGTTTCAATAGATATGTGAAACGGAGCTTAAAATTTCTAATAATTACAATTACTTGCATTTACTTATGTAGCCCCAATTAATTCTGCATCTCCAGATACAATGCATCTTAACCTACAGATTTTTTTTTTTTTAAATATAGATTTGATTGAACCTAAACAGGGAGATAGATATCATCATGAATTTATAACATAAGGAGAATACATGAGATTATGTTTTACCATATTTTATAAATTGCTCCAAAATGATATGCATCCTCTGAAATTACAAGTGAGCAAGGAGATTATTTTATAGCATTAGGCAGGCAAACAAATGCTTAAAATGCACAATGGAAGGTTGAAAGCTAATCAGCTCAACTACGAAAATGTCAAATTCTGACTGACTGCTGGCATCACATACTCACAGAAACCTTTTATTTTAAATCAGTAGATGGAAAAGACAGGGTATGTCTTTTATTTGAGTGACACATGCTATCTCCCTCTATATACACTATTTTTATCAGTAACTGTAGTTAGGGTTTTAGATATTAGAGGACAAGGGAGGTCTTGCAATCTTTGGGTGGGAAAATATAAACTAATGGCCTTTATTTGTGTGCAAATTTCACACATCTCTGTATGGATGGTCCAACTCACTCTTTTGAAATTTGACAGAGTGAGGCTGCTGGTGTCATTAGCTGTGACACCATATATCCTTGCAATCTCCATCAGTGTGATTTATACAGCATGAGGAAGCCTTCACAGAAATCTGAGCGTGTCAAAGTAATTAATTCTGTTCTACACCTCCATATCATACAAATTTATCAACCTAGCCTGGCAGTCCAGTCAGCCAGACTCATAGGAAACATCAAAGTTCATATCGGGAGAGCACAGAGGTCATTGTCCACTATCCCAAGTAGTACTCTGCCAACAAGCATCCTATCACACTTCAAGTTGCTGACCCATATACCATCCCACCGTTGCCCCAATAATACACTGGGCACCTTTTAAAGTGGATAAGGGCAACGGCCACAGCTTTACTAACCAATAGAAATTCTTAATTTCTGTCAGCTGTTGGGTGAGGGCCCAACAGACAGTTCTCCATCCCTATTCTCCAAGAGCCCAACACAGCCGTCACTAGCCATCAGCCTTCCACCGACTGTAGTCTCCCCAAGGTGACCTTGCGTCATACTCCTTTCTCTTTTGATTCCACTGTCCAGGGAAAACCGCTAGCTGTGTCAATAAGAAAACAAAAGAGAAACCACACAACACACCACAACAAACCAGGGAGGGAGGGTGAGAAATTCAGTCAGGCTTTATGTAAAACTCCTTCTGACTGGTAAGTCGTCTCCTCCCCTGCTCTCCCATTATAAGTCCTCCAACATTTGCAACATTGTTGCCCTCATTACTCCAGCCCACCATCCTGGGCAGCAGTCATGCTCCCCCTTCCCTATTTGTCCAGGGGGACACTGAAGAATGGTGCTTTGAGACTCCAGCCCACAAACCATATATGTGGTGACTTGAGGGGACAATTGCTCCATTGCTATCCTTTCAAGATTTCCCATGATAGAAGAATGGTCATATCCAAGATTAAAAGAGTCCAGATCTTCATGGGTCATACACAGGAATTTCAGCAATGTTTTCATGATATATTGTTATATAAAGATAACATATGATAGGGTTAACTTTGAAAATGTCAAGTAATGTTAACATTACCTGTAAACATGTACGTTAACCTTTAAGGTACATTAGTGACATTTAGTTGCTCCTTGTATTTTTCTGAGTAATTTGGCAGGGGAATTAAAGGTGCAATATGAGAATAATCCCAGGCTTCACTAGCTGCACCTTGACATGTGGCCATCACACGCTGCCTATTTCAATACCTAGGATTCTACTCAGAGAAGAGGCTTTCAAACAACTTCATTCTTATATAGCAGTTGCTCTCAAGCCTTTATATCCTGCATTGTATTAAAGAACTTAAATAGTGCACGTGTCAATGAAAATTAAAACTCTGTGCTATGACAGGAAATGAAAAATATTAGAGGAGACTGATTAATCTTCCTTCACACTACAAGACATTATAAATATCATTCTCCACACTATGAAAGCATGGCTGTGCGTACAAGTACCCTGAATTTTTGCTCTATTCCCCTGCGTGGATCAGAGAGCTGTTCACGCACGTTCTTGAGTGACACAAAATCCCCCATAGAAATGTTCTGATTCATTGTTTTCCTATGAGGAAGCACAGCACTGGCCATGCATGCACATGAGGTCCCCAATGATCCTCTATGACGCTGTGGGATGTGGAGAAGTCTGCCTTGGCACTGGGAAAAGATAAATACAACTTTATTTATTTTTTATTTTTTATTGCAACTGGAAGAGTGTAGTATTGGGCAGGGATCTATATAGATCTAGTGACAATATAGTGTTAGGCATACAGGTTTGTATTCCTAACGCTACAGCGTTCCTGTAATTCTTAAACAAATAGTTAGTCTCATTTGAACCATAGATGAAGGTACAACCGGTATTTGTTCATATCCAGTAGAATGTCTCTTATTTCTTTTGGCACGGGATTCTTTCTCTGCTTCATAAACAGCCCCTTATAACACAGGGACCTTTAACTAACACTGGAGTTTAATTTATTAGCACAGTGGGGTTTCACCTTTACATGCAATTGCAAACATAGGCTGTGACTAATGGTTTAGTAAGTTTTGGACACACCTAATTGGTACATAGCTTTGACTACTTATTTGATTGCAGAAAATGCAGATAAGAAGAGGAAGGGTGGTGGAGGGGTAGGGGGTTAATACAAAACTAATGCAGATCTATTATTAATCTATAGCAATGCTTCACAATTGCAGCCTGGATAAAAATAATCAACAAGATTTGACTCAAACCGGCAAAATCTGAGAGTGATAGGAGTTACGGTCCACAGAGCAAGACAGTTACTTGCTAGCCCTAAGTTTTTAAGTGAAAGCCCACTAGAAACCCTAACACAAAATGTCCCCTAATCCTCCTAAACTCCTAATTATACGTAAACAGCATCATTTTTAATGTTGCATTGTGTTTTGCAGAGATGTAATAATGCTAAGATTATTTGCCCGCAGGTTCATTATTGATTTATCCATTTTCAAATCAATATTTTAAATTTACTTTATTCAGTCAGTTATTTTCAATAGTAAAGGCAACAATAGAAAAGTCTGCGCCACATAAAATATTTAAAACAAAATAAAATAAAATAAAGTCCAAATAAAAAGAAGTCCAACTTGTATGCCCTTACGAAAAGTCATTTAAGGAGGCTGGTACA